GATGAAGGTCGTCCCTGCCGTGAGCCTGATCAATGGCATCGCACAGACATTGATGATGCAGGAATGGAGTACCCCTTCAGCAGCATCCGGACCGGCGAAATTGTTCGCTTCCCTTACGCGCTCCTGGAAATCAAACTCAAGGGCACTGCAGCGCACAGTGCCGAATGGATCAAGGATCTCATGGTCTCCCACCTTGTAAAGGAGGCGCCACGGTTCTCGAAGTTTGTCCATGGTGTGGCGCAGCTCTTCGAGGACTACGTTAACAGTTTTCCGTTCTGGCTTGGTGAGATGGAGAATGACATTCGAAAGGACCCAGAAACCGCTTTCCACGAAGAACAGGAGCGGCGAGCGCAGCGAGCAGAAGACGATATCGCAGTTGGAAGTTTCCTCGGCAACAAAGGTTCAATGACGGTGAGGCCTCTGGTGGGATCACCCGTACAGATGTTCACCGACATATCCTCTTCCCCTCGCCGTCGACAGTCGTCGCAGATGCTACCGCCCTCGCAGCGGCCCTCGGCTCCAGAAATAGCCCGCGTGCCTGAGCGTCCGGAGCCGCCCAGTCCGCAAAACCAGGTCCAGCGCGAGGACCAAGAGCCGGAACATCCCATGACTCTGAAACGCCTAGCCTCTCTCTTCCCAACCTTCTCCGCCACGCGGAAAAACCGTGGTCCCCAAAATTCAGTCGCGTTGCCTCCCGGCGTTCGGGAACCAGGCACGTGGATCAAGGACTCTGGACCTGTCCGTGTCGAGACCAAGGTCTGGCTCGCCAACCAACGTACCTTCATCAAGTGGCTCCATATTAGTATTCTTCTATCATCGCTGTCGTTGGGCCTGTACAACGCAGCCGGAAAGCACAATGATATCGCCCGCGCGTTATCAATTGTCTACACGGCCTTTGCGATCTTCGCCGCCGTCTGGGGGTGGTACATGCACGAGAAGCGGGCCAAACTCATCCGGCAACGGAGTGGACGGGATCTGGATAACACATTTGGACCGATTGTAGTTTGTATTGGATTGGCGGTTGCTCTGGTGTTGAACTTCGCCTTCAAGGTAGGCGCAGGTCGCTCGGTGTGGACAAGGGTTCATCCGCTAACATACAATATAGTACAACTCCACCCTGGAGAAGATCCGTGACCGCCAACCTCCAGCCAGTCCTCCTCCATCTGCTAACCTTACCGGGTTCATCGACCAGCCGAGCGTGTGGCAGCTGGTTAATCAAGGCGGTCAAGCTTTGTAACGAGGCTCCCCACCTAGTCTCTTGAGTCGCTGATTGCTTGTATATGGTCGCGTTTGCAGGGGATTCCCAAGCTCCTGTTTGAAGTAGAGGCAAACGAGTGTCTGGGCATGTCAGTCTTTGATGTATTCGTAGAATGTCTTTTGGAAATGTGAAAATAGCGTTAGGTCGGGAGTCAACCAGGCAATGGAACATGAGAAAAAGAGGTTCAATCAAAATGAATGATGTTTTCGCTTAAGGATACCAGTATCTGAACCCGAACTCTATCGCTATTCTGCACCTCAGAAATCATAACGGGCAACTACAAATACCGGCTCGTGGCGGGACCCTGCGACAGCAACGGGGCCTGCTCGGCATCCGGGTCATTGGTCGCGCGATGCCCCGGCGTCGACGGCCGTCCCTTCGCGGTCGCCGCATACAGCACACTGGGGACGAAGCCTTCAAAGCTCTCTCTTTGGCAACAACTATCGTGTCAGCCTTTTGTCATGGACTAAATCACCAAGGTTGGGGGAGGGGGGGGGGGGCGCGCCGCACCGATCAAAGAACCCGACAAACAGCCACAGATACACCGTGCCCAGGAACGCAATCACCCACTCCAGGATCCCCGCGGCCCGGTAGTCGCTGACATTCTCGGGGACGGTGAGTGAGATGAAGGCGATGCCGAGGAAGAGCTCTACCAGAATCAGGGCGGTGGATAGGGAGGCACTGCAGACGTCCTGGGGTTAGCCATGCGAGCCTCTGCCGTCAAGCGAGCTCCAGAAGACCTAGCACCACATATGTCACCCTCCTCCACCATTCCGAGCAGAAATGAATGCAGGTTTGTAAGAAAGGAAAGGTAGAGAAGGAGTGACTTACGAAACGCGTACCCTGACCTTGCGCCTCTCCCCCCATCGGGGCTGCCACACACCGCCATGCGTCAGGAACGCCACAAACCCCAGCACCTCGGTTGAGTACACGACCGCCGTCCCGAAGGACTGCAGGGCCAGGCCCCCGAAGCAGACGCGGAGGAGGATCGCGTGCGCGAAGTGGTACCGGAAGGTATCCATGACGCCGAGGAAAATGAGGGCGGTGCTGGCCATGCCGGCGGAGAAGATGGCGAGGAGGGAGATGAGTTTGAGGGTGGCGATGGTCGCGGGTGACTCGTCGTTGTCGTCGTCGGTCTCATCCAGAGTATTATTGCTGTCATGGATAGGGCCGTGGTATGGCGTCACTGAGGCCGGTGATTGATCTCCATCCGGAGATGATGCGTGCTGCGGACCCGGACGACGCGCGGAGAAGTAGTCCGGGCCGCGGATCACTGCGAAGCCAGGCTCGTAGCGCATGACGTGAACAGCAGCTACGGTGAACCAGAACCCGACGGCGGTCATGGAGGCACCGATCAGAAAGAGGGGTTTTGAGTTCAAAGGAGGCGATGTCCGAGATGAAGCTGGTGGTGGCGCTTGGTTAGTCTAGTGGCATCTTATGCCGATATACGAAGTAAAGGCAGCACGCACGCGACGTGTGGGTTGCTTTGGCCTGGGTACTGCGGCATGCCTCGAGCCAGCCAGGTTAGCAGCAAGCTGGCAAGGGTCAGGAACCAAACTGAGCCTGCTAAGGAGGGGAAGATGGGCAGGCGAGAGGGTGGGATGTTGAGGATGGTGACATGCAGAAAGGACCAGATGGTATCATGGCAGCGGAGAAGGAAAGACGTGATCATGAAGACTGAATGCGGAGGAAAAGCTCCAATTCTAAGAGACTGTATTCCTAGTTCCTAAGAGAGTATTCTATTGCAAAGAGAGAGGGGGGAAGAGGAGGGGAGACGAAATCCGGAGATCTGATAAAGACAGGGCGATGTATGAGATGGCGGTCAGCTGATGGTTACCGCCAACGACTATCACTGCGAGCAATTGCGACTTTGGCATCGCATCAAGGCTGCGAACAGGCATTGGATCCTCCTCTTGATCAGCAGCTATTCCTGTCATGTTCCAGTGAGGAATCCATAGTGGGTAATAGCAGAAGCATTAAAAGCCAAGACATTGTTAAAAAGAAATCAACATAATATACAAACATAAAATAACGGCCCAGATTTGGATCCGCCAGTTGACGTCACTGGCGGGGGAGATTTCTCCCGACTGTTGATTGTTAGTAAATTTTCTGTACAAGGTATACCAAGTATACCAAGTAGTGTAGTACACTTGGAAGACACTCACGAGTATATGTCTGGATTTATCTGCTCCCTCCCAGACGCAGCATCGGGCATTTATAAGCCCAACTCCCCGAGCAGACCACCTTTGGCATCTGCTGACAAATCGGCTCCAACGACCATTGCCCACCAGCAACGAATAAGAACAATCAATGCTGGTCAAATGCCCGAGGAAAAGGCCCGAGAGAGAGAGCGAGAGAGAGTCAGAACGGAGTCATCCACAGTCGCCAATTGGCCAGGCTGACCATTGTTACCGTTAGCGTGGTAACCACCTTATAGATCTGCTGTGTATCGGACTCAATCCATCTGGAGATTTTTTGAACTCAACCTCACCACCAACGGAGAGACACATCATTCCAGCCACAAAACTCCCCGAATTGTCAGTCACTCCTATATAGTAGCGTGCACTGGTCGATCCATCGCCGGTGCTCCCTTATCAGCAGCCTACCCATACTCCCTCCCAACCCTTCACTCAACCGACACATAATACATCATGACCAACTTCAACATCCAGATCATCTCCGACACGGTGTGTCCGGTAAGTCTAATGTACTGTCGCGATACCTCCAGCACATCCAGCTAACCAAGAATAGTGGTGCTACGTCGGCTACCGCCGCCTCAGCCGGGCCATTGCCCAGCACAAAACCTCCCACCCCAGCGACACCTTCACCCTCAGCTGGCACGCCTTTTACTTGCACCCGGAGGGGCCGGGCTACCCGGGCCTCGACAAGCGGGAGTCCTTCCGCAAGAAGTTCGGCCAGCAGCGCGCCAGCGCCATCATCGAGAGGCTGACCTCGGTCGGCAAGACCGAGGACATCGACTTCAGCTTTGGGGGCCGCACCGGCAACACCCGCGACTCGCACCGTCTGCTGTGGTGGGCCGGCCAGAAGGAGAAGGCGGAAGCCAGCAGCAGCACCGCCGTCGCCGACAAGGGCGTGGTCGGCGGATTGCAGACCCGCGTCGTCGAAAAGCTGTTCCGCGCCTATTTCGAGGATGAGAAGAACATCACCGATCCCGCCGTGCTGACCGAGGCCGCCGTCGGGGCCGGCTTGGACAAGACCGCCGTCGAGAAGTTCCTCGCCTCCGAGGACGGCGGGAAGGAGGTCGATGTCGAGGCCTACGTGGCGCAGCGCCAGTTGGTGACCGGGGTCCCCTACTTCATGATCAATGGCGAGTATGCGGTGCCCGGGGCGGATGAGCCCGAGACTTTCTTGGAGGTATTCGACAAGGTGAAGAGTGCGTGATCTATGGAGATGAGAGATTGCTGTATGCTGGAGTTATGTTTATGTTTATTGGTACGGGTAATATTAGATAGATTCTTCATTTGAGCAAGTCTGAGGTAAGGCTGGAGATAACCGAGGCTATCCCATTCATGATTCAGAAATGAAGCAAAGTAGTCTCGCAATTAGCTGTCCTGTAGCTATGCCATCCTCTAAGGCACCGCCAATGGCGACTAAGTGGGAAAGGAAATAGAGGTCCGCTCAAACGCCACAATCATGCAAGCAAAAGGACTACTACAGTAAAAAAAAAAAAGAAGTCGAAAAAGATCCATCCCAGAGCAAAGCGAGAACAAAGAAGCCCCTAGCAAACGAAGCACAACATAATACATGGTTAGAGAAGTGGGGTGTAGGGTGCGTCAGCCTGAGGACCGTGATAAGATCAACACCGCAACACCGGGGTACAGAAAAAGAGACAAGAACCGAGCCCAGGAGATATTATCATGACAGTCGTTCAAGCCGGTCGAAGGTGTAACAGGCATTGGTGGGTCATGGCGGGCATCCGGGATCTAACGAACAGAGGGGAGAAGTTGGGAAGCAAGGAGGGCATGTTGGAAGCATGTCACATCTAGTAGACGCTAGACTGCTGCAGTTTGAAGTCGGGGATGTAATCGAACCAGTCCGTGGTCGCGTTATAACGGTAAGCCTTGAACTCCACCCCATAGGGCTTGGGTTCCAACATGTAGAGCATGCCGAGGGGTACATCCAGGGAAGCGACTTCATCCCGTTTCAAGCCACGGAAGTAGGCCAGCAGAACGCGCGCCACAGATCGGTGGGTGACAAGCAGAATGTGATCAGTCGTCCGCTCCATCTCGATGATCACAGCGCGAAGACGGTTGATCACGTCCAGATAACCTTCACCGCCAGGCCCGGGGTAACGGTAGAAAAGCTTGTTCTTACGACGAGCTTGATATTCCTCAGGGAACTTCTCACGAATCTCATCGTAGGTCATACCCTCCATCTCGCCAGCGTAAAGCTCGTCAAGCATTTTCATCTGCTTCACGTCATAGTCATCTTCATTGAAGTAGTCGACAGTTTGAATCGAGCGCTGCATCATTGAGGACCAGACGCAGTAATTCCGGGGGCGGTCACAGGGGATGTAGGAGGGGTTGGGAGGAGTGCTGTCGCCAGCGCGGGGTGGTAGGTGTCGGAGCATCTCCTTCTGTCTCTGAATAAGCTCCCACTGTCGCCGCTGGTGGTCGATGAACCGAGTCAATGCCTTGGCATATCGATGACCATTCTCGCTAAGCTCCGAGTCACCGCCAATGCGACCCAGCTGGTTATCCTTACTCTCGCCGTGTCTCGTGATCCAGATCTGACGAGGTGAAAGGTTGAAATTGAGCAGATAGTACACAACCTGCGAGGAAAGGAAGCCATGCGTCTGATGAGCCACAATTTTGCGTCCGACGTCAATCATCTGAATGAAGGCCATATTGTTCTTCTCTTCGTAGTCACCCAGCGGAACATACGACTTCTCATACAGCGCCACGCGCTGCTTGAAATCGGCCAGCGCCTTAACAGGGTCTTGGTCCTTGTAATCCGGACCGGAAAGTTTCAGGCGCATGTTGGCTTCGAGAAGCTCTTGATCCACACAGCTGCTTTCGAGGAAGAGGATATTCAATTCCGTGCCGGCACGCTTGCGAATATGATCAACGATTGTCTTCCGACGCTCCATAGTGCTGTTCGTGGCATCGAGAATGCCCACACTACCTCCCTGTTCAAGAATGTACTCCAGCAGCTCGTCCAGTGTGTCCAAAGCCACCTGTTCTCTCAGTTTCACGGCGAGTTGGTTCTGAGGGTCGAAGAAGTTGGCGGACTGATCGATGGGCTCGGGGGATGCTTCGCGCATGGCTTCCTGATCCTCGAGACCTGCATTGAACGGGGGTACAATCGTGCTCTGTGAAGGGTCCTCCTCCTTGCCGTTGACCAGGATTTTGGTGGGACACGCAGGAGGCGGAAGCTGGTTCTCGAGTTCCGGGGGCGAAGCCACTACTTCGTTCGAAAGGGCGGAAGCACCATCAGGGCGCCGAACGTCCTTATGCGATGGTTGATTGGAGGTGCCAACGCTGACGCTCAGCCGTCGGACCGAATCGACAAGCTCGCTGTGAATGACGCTGGCTCGGTGGCTAGGACGGCGTCCCGCGACAGAGGGAGACTTGCCAGCGGCCACACGACGACGATTGCCGACGTTGAAGATCTCAGTATCATGCTGAAGCCAATTCAGGTACCGCGCGAGTTTCTTGGTGACGTAACTCTTTCCCCGGGCAGGGAGGCCGACCATGACAATGACGAGCTTAGATCCGACATCTCGCTGGGCGATTCGTCCGTCGGGGGAGACCTTCGACTTGGTGAGACCGGGGATGTCGAGTGTGGTTGCACGCACGCGACCGGGGAGGTTAGGGGTGGATGTGTTGGCAGGACTAATGGCAGTCGGTTAGTTTAAGAGATGCCCTCAGCTTCGGCTACATCACCCCGCGCATTGCGACCGGAGGTAATCAATACAAAATCGAAAAGCATATCGAGTCCAAGCTCCGTCGAAAGACTTGACCGACAATTGCTGCAGGTTGGGGGGGGGGAGGGGGGACCCGGATCACTTTTCCTCAGTCCCCCTCTAAATGCCGGTACGAAATAACCCGACTCCAGAGCAAACTGCCGATCCTTCCCCAGGCTGCGGCCAAAATCTAGAATGCTCTTCCGGGCAGAGTCGACTCAATCGAGACGTCTAGGGGACATGTGCAGGAAGGCTAACCAACGAGCAGACGAAACGAAAGGAAATACATACAATTGTGGAGACGAGGGTGCGGTAGAAACCGGAGTGTCTGTTAGGGCGAACCCGACACCATCCTTGGAGGCTTGGGATCCCTTGTGGGCATCGGAGGAATGCAGTTCGTTTCCTAGCGCTCGTCCGACCAGCGATTTTGCCGGAGGCATAAGACTCGCCTCCTTCCCGGATCCCGACTGTGACGGGGGTCCAGTATGTTTTTTCCCGTCGCGTTGGTGATCCGGGACTGAGGCGCAGGTCATGATGGCCGAACGCGCAATATCTGTGTGTTGAGACATCCCCGCAAGTGGCGCAGGGACGCAGCCTGAATTATAGGAGAGAGAGAACGATGAAAGTAAGGTGTCAAAGTGGGGGAAATTCTTGCACTTGATGGTAAAAGAAATGGCGCAAGTCTCTGATAAGAGAATGAAGAGCAAGAGAGGGAGCAGTGAGGGAAGAACGATACAGTGCAGGCAGGCAGGCAGGCAGGCAGTCAGTCAGTCAGTCGTGGCCAAGAGTGGAGGGGAAAAAAAGAATGGGAAGTCGCGCGGTGGTGTGTGGGCGGATGAGTCAAATCCACACACAACGTCACTGTTAAGTTGGCAAAGCTCTGTCCTTGTTCGTGCTCTCAAACAGCAACAACAATAACAACACCACCCAGCGCAATCATCAGACTTCCAGAGACTTATACAGCCAGGGAGTCAATTGCGCGATGTCGAAATCTCTCAGAGAAAATGGGGCGAAGAGATAGATAGATAGCCAGGCAACATGCAATCAAGGTAAGGGACAGCCAATTGGGGGCGTGGGATGCAAAGCAAGGCTGCTTCTGATCCGAATGTTCCGAGCCACCGAAAAATATAAGAGCAAGATTGATAGTGTATACTCAATAGGGATACGGCGCAGGTGAGAGCACAAAGTGGTTCCAAGCAATGGCAGGTGAAGGTTAACGCACGAGTTTAATTGATTTGATACAAGGATGAGGACCACCAGGTTGGAAGTTGGAACAGCAGTCCATATAAGCTTGGGGGGGCTTATAGGCTATAGTTAGTTAGCTTACCTAGTAGTTAGTAGTCTAGCGATGGTTGATGAAGTCACTGGGAGTCGCTTAGTTTCCTAAGGGTGTGGATCGACCGAGGGATCTGCTGCACTGCTGTATGCACTGCTGGAACTACTACCCCAATGACCATAGATGATGTCAATCTTCCTCATCCTCTTCCTCTGAGACAGAGCCCGCGACATCCCGACCGACATATAAGTACTCTGGCCCACCCCACCGGATGCATAATTCCGATCCAGGGCCTCTCACTCAAACTGCCCAGAACAACCAGAATGCTTGGCCCAGCAAGGGTGGACGAAAGGACTCATCATCATCACAGGTCAAATCCTCAACAACACCCGAGCACGAGCCCTGCGGTTGAGATGCCCAGAATTCGCCAAGATGCTCGCTCACCACACTTACTCTGTAGCAAATCTGCGTCAGATCCAGCCACTTGATGGCCCCGGACCCTTCCTGGTCTTCAGCCTGCAGCTGCATCAAGGCGGCAAACCAAGGCAGAGCCCATTCAGCTCATACAGACTCACTTTAAATGCATTGGGATCTGACTGTGTCTTCGTGCTGCATGCTATATTATATAAATAATATCGAATAACTTATAACCTGCGCCGGTGGAATTCAGGGCCAATCCTCGAACAAGGTCACACAAGGCTTGGACGGTCGCACCATCACGTTGTTTGCCAAAGATACTAGCTGCGGTTCCCCGAAAGTAGACCACGATCCTAACCCAGCTGGGATGACATCGGAGAATGTGGATGGCTTCTCTTGACGGCGTCAATCGACAACCAGCAGCAAGGGGGCGTGGACGTGGACCAATGGCATCCTGTCCCCTGCAGGATAGTGGGGTAATACAACCGATGCTCAGGATTTTTGGATAGTAGTACCAACTGAACGGGAGAGAGCTCTAGACCATGTCGTATCTACAAGTCCTTAGAATAGATGCTTCCATACCCCACTGAACCACTCCCGGTCCTTTTTCCATGCCTTCACAATCAGATCTCTGCCCAAGTGGACAAGGTCCGCAACCTGTTCCGGAGTTCCCCAGCCCCGAATCATGGAACCGAATGTGATAAAATGAACCCCGACGTGAATCAGGACCCAGAAGGCGAATGCCTCATTTGGCACTTGGTATCCGCCGAGAAAGCCTTCAATCATCGACGGCCCAGCATCGATGCCTCTGAAATGCTTCAGCATATACAGTTCGGCAAGCATCTGGCCCAGATCCCACGCCCGCGGGCCGAAATGACAGAGCTCCCAGTCCACAACGAAGAGAGAGGTCTGAGGGCTCGGATCTAGTGCCGAGTGGGGAACCAAAACGCTGCTGTCGCGTCAGCCTCTCCAAATCTCCGATGGCAGCGGAATCTCTATCCGGTGAGAGAGGAAGATGACCTACTTTCCCGACCAAAAGTCCCCATGGATGATGCCATACTCGACTTCACCCTTCTTTTCCACCTCAGCCGCCGCCGCTAGCCGCACCTGCTCGAACACCTCGCGGGCTTCGCCCAGCAAAGCAGGATACTGATCGATTCTTGCCGCGAGACTGCCGTAGTTGACGGAGAGCTTCAAGAGCCGCATCGCGTGATTCTTTTCCAGTTCTGCTACCACGGCCGCCTGGTCCTTCTCGTCGGTCCATCGATGGAATGCCCACAGCCAGGTGCCCAGAGCCCTGCCAATCAAAACGGCCCATTCCTGGGAGATGGTAGTCGACGCAGCTGAGGAGATACAGAATGTCTTCAGATCCAGGGAATCGGGGAGATCCTCTAGGACGGCGGTGTTGGTTTCGGGATGGAAGGTGAAGAGCCGAGGAGGCTTGACTGTGATGGCTCGACTTTCAGACTGCCCCTTCATGGCCACTGTGCTGGTGAGCCCATTGAGGGCCTTCAAGCTGGCCTCCTCAAAGAGCTGAGCGGCCCGTCAGCTATCCAGTTACGAACCTCTCCAGACAGTGAAAAGGAGGGGGGGTTACACAGCGCTCAGCAGTCAGTTCCAAGTTCCGATTCGCAGCTGCATACCCCTCTGAGTGCTTGATGATGACGCTTTTCGTGCCATCCTCAAGGGGTCGGGACAGCAGTCCTCGGAAGACGAAATTGACGGTTCCTCCGCTTAGGCGCGTGAGGGACGAACATGCATACCGCGTATGCACCAATTCGCGGGTGATATTGAGTTTGAAGCTATCTTCTGGCTTTGCGTCCATATTTGTTTCATTTGCGGAAGGGGAGGTTTTTGACTGATGGGCCGCTATGGTTATATACCTGGGAGATGGCCAATCTGGCGGGGTCCGAAAACGGGATGGCGTGGTAGGGCCGTTGACTATTGGCAGTGAGTAACCAACTACTATTGATTGATTGATTGATTTATACATACTTCGCTTGAAAAAAGAGTCGATCTATGATCAAAGCTTGGCGAGCGGGGTTCTTGTTAGGTTGGGGGAGAGCTACTCACTGACTCATTAACTCACTGCATTATATTATAACTTACTTCCTGTAAGTGACAGCAAGTGACATGTCACTCTAAGATTTTAAGCTTTAGTTGGATTTTGGTTTGAATCAGCCTTTCCCAATACGAGCTGAGTCGTTCTGTTCTGAGTCATTCATCAACTCTGAACTACCTGGGTTGCCTTCAGATTGATGCACGTCAGCTGTACGAATGGTGCTGATGCCTACTAGTAACCTTTTTAGTGTGGGATCCATGGTGTATGTTTGTTTGCCTTAAGCCATCCAGTGCCCTTGTTCTAGGCTCTGGATCTGGTCCAGGTGAAGTCTATCCAAGAGTTAATCTTTGCTCCGATCTTGAGCCACATGTCAAGTCCGTCATGGCAGATGATACACTGTTGGAGACAAAAGGGTTATGGTTATCTGTTGGTCTAAGAAATCACTTTTCACCATTGGGGGCAGGGTGAGGACAAAAAGTCGGGTGCTGCAGAAAAAAAGAGATCGAGCTCCTCGAAGACTATGTCCGTTCAGGTTGGTAAGTCGTTGGTTTTAGTTCCAGCACGCCCTTTTCCCTTGGCGGGGTCCACTTGTTGTGGTGGCTTACACTGAAGTTGGAATGGAGCCCACCCCACGCCTTACGACGCCTTAGAAGCATGAATACAATGAAATGAGAGATGAGAGATGACACACATGCACCGACTATATGGATCATTATAAAGCAAGTATCATGATTCCTCCCTGCTTATTCACAGACTGACAGCCATCCCCACCATGTCCACCAGTGGCGTCAATCTATACATCAAGGCCATCCAAGAGTTATGGACCCGCAAGAGCGTGAACATCTCTATAAACCTGGTCGGTGAACAGGGAAACACAATCAATACCTACACAGCCCCAGACCAGATCAATGGAACCGCAGCCATTACAGTCGAGGACGATGTGGACTTTGACCATCTCAATATCCCATTTGAGGGTAAGCAGCAATGACAATAGCCATTGTCTTACACATCAACTGAACCCACGCAGGTATCTATCGGGTGTACAACGAGCGAACCGGCCCTCCGCATACCGATCGATGAATCGGTGCTTCCAGGACATTCCTCAAATTGCGATATCCTCTTCCCACCACCGTCTATCCCTCGCCGCGGCAGTTCAATAAGGGTGAAACTTATACCTTTCCCTTTAGCTTTGTTGTTTCGAACTACATAGAACCTCCTGTTTGCACCTCAAAGCTCGATGAGGCCCATACACAGCTTCCGCCGGCCCTTACATGCAGCAGCAGTGATGATTTCACCTCATCTGTATGCGAAGTCATATATGCAATTCAGGTCCGCGGATAGTGCAGGGATCCAGGAAGAAAGCACTAGCAGCCCATTCGAAGCAAGTGAGGGTGGTCCCTGCCGATAATCAGACACATTCATGCCTAGGTGGAAAAGCGAATGTGGAGGGCCATCAGATCGATCCGCAGATACTCGAGCAAGCAATTGGTCAGTTCACCTTAACGGCAATTCAGCCACTGCCTATTCGGCTTCTTGCGCCAGAGTACGTGGTCTCGAAGGATATTTGCTCAATTGCGGTGCGAGTCCGATTCAATTCCATCGGTCGCGTACCTCCACCACGTCTGAAGACTCTTTGTACTAAGCTTGAGGTGTCAACCACATACACTTGCAATCCTGAACTTCAGGTAAGCTGTCCTCCCGTAGCTGGCACTGATCGTTTTGTCAAGTCCATATCATTGTCCTCTGTCTGTATGAGGTCGGTGCAATGGCAATGGGCCAGGCGAGGTCAGAAAGATAACCTCGCCAATGATGATTCCCGGCAACTTGAATGTGCCGATGATTGTTACGAGGCCTCGCTTGTCGTTCCGATCATCCCCCCCCACCTCAAGGACAAACTTCTTGTCCCTTCGTTTGCCTCTTGTCTTGTCAGCCGGGCTTATACCCTCAATCTATCGGCCTCCTATCCCTCTTGGGGTACATCGCCAATCCATTCGTCCGTTCAGCTTGACATCCCATTAAAGATAATTCCAATTGGGGATTAGATTGGAATACCACACAAGTGGTGCGATGACGAGCGGAGTAACAATGAGGGAGCGCCGTAGCCATTCTGGGCTCAGAAAGACAAAAGTCTGTTTGGCTCCCTGTGGTACCAGTGTTCGCATTAGGTGCACCATTTCGTACATACTTGTCGGTAGTCTTGCTGTGCTCTATCATCACGCATTATCTAATTTTGGTCCCTGATCTTCGTCGTGAAGGGGAAAATCATCCAGATGATGCAGCATCCCGTTTCTCTCAGAATCTGCGACGTGATCGATATGCTGGCGTCTGAAGGCAGCAATCCACTTCGGATTGTCGAAGATGGTCTGATTCCATGAATCTTCGCAGTCGTAAACCAGTCGCCTCGACTCCTGCTGCAGCATTTCATCCGTAGGAATAATCCCCTTGTCCATCTGCTGGCGCGCGAAGCGACTCAGGTGAAACACAAGTACCTCGATCATATCGTTCCCTGACCCAGCACTGGCTGATTCTCCAAAGGACCCTAGATGGCCGTCAACATTCAGTTCATGGTCACGGGCATTCAACTCGCTCGTCCCCAGTCGTGATTTTATCTGGTTGAGATGGTCGTAGTGGTGGAAGTTTGTGGCTGAGAACGGCACAAGAACCCGCGAATCCGAAGCAATGTGGTACGGTGGCAGCGAGTTCACCACAAGTTTAGCAATAGCCGGAGGGAATTCATGGTCCCCTCGCCAGTCGTCCATCGTCGATCCACCGCGGAAGTGACTGCCGAGGTGATCGACTCGCTCTTCCCAGGACGATAGCCTCTGGTCACAGAAACCGCAGCGAGACGTAACTGGAGGCCCTTGGACCTTCCAGTCATCGATCTGAGGTAGAGTCTCAAGATGATGCGTCCGTCGCAGATGTTGTACCAGATGGTCCTTGCGACGGAAAGTGCGCGTGCCACCCATGCAATGCTCATACTTATGTTCGGTAAGGTGTTCCGCTGTCGGGGCTGGCATGTCGCAAAACGCGCAATGCCTTGTCCCAGTAGAAGGAGAAACTACCGTCCCGCCTTGGGGTGCACAGACCCATTCTTCCAGGTTCAAATGGAGAGACTTTTCATGTCGAGCCCAGTCATATTTGGTTCGGAACTGATCGCAACAAAAGGTGCAACAAAACAGACGGCCTTTTTCCCCGGGATTCATTTTCGCACTCCGGCCCTTACGCACGCGTCCAGTGGCGCGCTTTCTGGAAGACCGCATCGGACCTTGGGACTTCTGGGAGGTTGCCGATTTGGCCGAGGTGGAGGAGGGCTGCGAAGAGACACTGCGGGCGCTACTTTGTGAGCTGGGTATCGACGTGGTTCGATGCCGGTAACCCCTAAAGGAATCATGCAATTGACCCAAGCTTCCAGTCCCCATTCCATGGCTCTTTCCTTGGTCATAGGTTGACGGATATTTTCTCAGGGATTCCATGATCGCTGACAGCGAGGCCGGCTCATCTTCCGGCGGTGAATCTTGCCACCGCTGTAAAGGATCGGCGGCAAATTGAGGGTTTGGAATGTAGGATGGGGCGACATTCGTTCCTCGGGCTCGTATCGCATATCGGCTTTTTCGTCTAGGGAGCGTGCGTTGTGTGTCCAGGTTGAACCTGGGTGGCGTGGTTTGGGCGGGCACTAAGAGCGAGACGCTGCCAAAGCCACTATCCAGCGCGGACAGAGCTACCTGACTATCATGTGAGGCATGGAGCGAAGTAGCTTGTAGGCTGTCGGAATAACACTGAGAGTTAACGCCATCTAATCCTTCAAGGCTCGGCGCCGGCCACAGTTCGCTTTCTATCTCTTGGATGGCGTGGTTTGACAGGAGGGAGTTTGATATATGACAACCCGCGTCCACGCCGCCGGTCAGTTGCTGTGCTACAGTTGATTCAACATGGGTGAAGCTGTGTGGCTCATAGATTGCTCCGTCCAGGTCGGTAGTAGGGCAGGCTTGGGCTGGATCGATGGAGGAAGCCAACGCGATCGAGCTTCCGTCTCCATGTGACGTTGAGTCTCTGTGGGGATTGATCTTCTCATCATATGAGGTGAGTCCATACGTGTTATCGTCCATATCAAGGTTGAGAAATCGATCCCAATCTTCCCATGTGCTGCAAGCCACCGACTCGATTGTAGAGAACCTCTCATTCTGCTGGGTCGCATCATCAATGCTCAAGCTGTGTTTTGATTGTTGCATAATACATGTCCTATATCCGATGCCCGGGTGCTTTAGTTGTCGGTGTTATTGTGGGTTATTCGGAGGTCCGGAGAATAGTCACTCAGTTGGTCTGGGATAAGTAGAATGATGGGTGGGCGTAGGTAGAGTAGAGTAAGTAATTACTTGGGATCCAAGTGACTATGAGTAAGTAAAGAGGAGTCACCCGATAACCAAAGGTGATTTGAAGAGCGACGCACTCTTCCCGCCCCGCTAGCCCCATATAGTGCAGTTTGTTATTGGGTCGATAGCAATGCTCGCACGTTTAGATTTCTAAATCCAACTCCGGCAAGGGCTCGGAGCCAAATTTTTGTCTCTGATGTGATAATCCTAACAAAATTTTCATCAGCAAGGCCTGCTGGCCCAATGGTAAGGCGCTTGACTACGAATCAAGAGATTGCAGGTTCGAGCCCTGCGTAGGTCATTCTTTTTGCCTCTTTCCCTTTTTTGCCTGTTGAATAGCTGCTGCAGGTTGGAGATGTTGATGGAAAGCGTGCAGGCACCCGAGGACTCGATTGTGTGTGTGCTAGTTGTGATGTCCAAAAAAAAAATGGGGTTTCGACCTCTGGTTGAGTGCCAATGCTGCGTTGGTCCCCGGCTAAGTTTAGGGGAACAATAGGATCTGTCTATATAGAGTTCTATCTAGGGATACTCCTCGTGGGTACATAGATTTATATTACTGCATAGCTTGCGCGTGTAGCCGCAATAGTGAATTGTTTTAATACCCCGTGAGGCCATGACGCTACAACAAGTGCATTGAATGATATAGCCTGGCCAACTGCTCCCAGCCATACTGTCACTGTGAGACCACTGCCGATTACAAAAGCAGCCGACACGCATTGTACTTGCTCTTTGGCGATTAAGTTCGAGATATCTCGGTAGACCGCCCGGACCATGGACTGGGTGAAACTTTGTATCATTATCAGATTTTCTTTATTACGTTATTCGATCTGACCACTTCATTCACTGCTCTTCGGCTGACACTCGAGATCAACGCTGCTTGTGTGTATACTAGCGCTTGCTGCGGGTTTCGAGCTCTCTCGGCGAGGCACCGGTACTCTTGTATGTGCTGATGCTGTGCACGATATGGCTCTCAAAATTTTCGTTCCCTCACATCAACATATAAGCTGGAACATCACATCAGCTGGCCTGCTGGCCCAATGGTAAGGCGCTTGACTACGAATCAAGAGATTGCAGGTTCGAGCCCTGCGTAGGTCATCACTTTTTGCCTTTTCCTCAGTGTAATTGCTCATATCCTACCCAGATCAATCCCATCGATCTCGTTCTTCCCAAAAGGATGTGTATGTGTGAAATTCGCTGTGCATATGGCCATGGGGGATGAAATATAGGCCCGAGAGGTTGTGCCGGCGCGTGCCTTCCTTGCATCATACCCAAGTTTTGTCTGCAGGCACCCACCCAAATGTATCCAGTGCATCTTGCCTACATATATCCACGACCCCGAGATGGATCGATTATGCACACCGACTGGAACAATTGAGTGGTCGATAGTGCCGAGTTCAAGAACTAAGTGAGAATTAGAAGAAAACTAACAAGTCCATCCTACACAATGTCGTGAGAAGTATACGTCCATCTTATTGTCCGCCGCAAAGCCCACCCAGAAGTTAGTAAATGGTCGCAGCGACCCCATGATCAATTGGCTCAGCATTGGACCCAAAAACATGTTCCAGAGGTCTTCTATAAGAGACATAGACACTATGTGTGTAAAGAAAAAAGTAATGACCTACGCAGGGCTCGAACCTGCAATCTCTTGATTCGTAGTCAAGCGCCTTACCATTGGGCCAGCAGGCCTTGCTGTTGGAAAACCTGTCCTAGCTGTGCTACGCGTCCCAAGACTAAGCAATGCGGGAATGACATTAGGGCAACGCTCGGTCTGGCTGGCCACCATTCGTACTATACAACAGACGTCAACCTCAACCTCAAATATCTCCCACTACCACCCATATCCCTCGAGTACACGACACACAACAATCAATCGTCCCACGAATATCTCTTGCAAAAGCACAAACCTGTCAGATAGTGAGACAAGATAGTACTGAGAGCATATTGATTTCTTTCATTCCTAACATATAAGCACCCGCAAGCGCAGTTTTCGCCCCAGGATACACAACCCACGAGTTCCTTACGCCGGATCTAGAGGCGGTCGAAGTCCCTCCCAGGAACAAGATCGTAGACCCGCTGCAGCCACAGCAGCAACTTCTTCCAATCCTTCCTCTTGAAAGCCTCCGGCCGCCGCCTTCCGCCGATTTTCCGCCAACCGGACTTCCCGATGTTCCCCAGAATCTCGGGAGCCGCGCGCACGACAAATTCCAGGTATCGCGGGTCAGGCTGACAAGCGGCGTGCCTTGCGAGGGGGAAGCGGCGATACCAGGTCGGCTGCAGCATGTCGATGGCCACGGCGCGGAGATCGGAGCCATTCTCCATCGCCGCCCGCATGAACCGGAGTCGATGCGGGCTGGCGCTGATGTACTGGAAGGCGTTGAAGTGCCCGAATGTGGCCCCTTTGGATAGGAGCGAGCGAACGACGGAGTCTACCAGGATGAGCTCTCTCTGTGAATGGGAGCTCCAGCAGTAGTGGTGGTTGCACAGAATGTCCAATGGCAGTGGGCTGCACTCGGGGAACAATTGATCCTCACCGGGCACGAGCCCGACGTCAATGTCAGGATGATTCAGCAACAGTTGCACTATCTCCAACCGGTCATTGCGCGCGGCCCAGGGCAGTAAGGGCCAGCCCTCCAGCCCATAGGCATTGGGACTCACGCCGGCGCGTAAATAACCCTCAACAAGAGAGTAATTTCCAGCTTCAGCCGCTTCGAAGAGGGGCTCACGGAAGGGAATAGGGTATAGATCTGTCTGCCAGTCCTTGTAGAGGGCTCGGCCGTTTCGATCGATCCAGAGCAGCTTACGGTACTCACCCAGGGTTGCCAGTGCAAACTGCCGGGCTTTCTTTCGGAGCAGTGGACGAAGCATCAGATACAGATACTTGCAAGTCTGGCTGAAATTAGCTAGCTCTCGATTCGTCATATGCTCAAAGCACTCGAGGAACATCTCCGCTGGCAATCTAGCCAGCTCAAGGGAGCGCCACTGGCGATCGTCCTCCAACACAATAGCTGGAGACTGTGGATACTCAGGGCCATGGTAGTACATACCCTCCAAGCTTTCCACCGGATTCATATCCTCGGCTGCCCTTTTGGCTATACCCCACCAATATTCGTCGTTGCTCAAGTCGTCCATCATTCAACAGCGCTGGCGTAGACAGAGGCCCAATATTTGCAGTCCACAGGAAATTCCTGAAGAGATATACCAAGCGAAATTTCTGCGCCTTGCGACTATATATTCGTTGATCTACCTTCAGGCTGGCCGAGCTATAGATCAACAAAGACCCCTTTCAGGGGAATATCTGTCAGTATGCTCGAGCTCCCATAGTTGGTGATTCAGCAATGCCTTTGTTCTGGAGTAGAGTCGTGGTATATTCCTTACACTGTCCCTAGCACTTGATCAGAACGAAACTTATTGGTAAGTCTCGAAATCAACAAAGAGATACGCGTTTGAACTTCGCGGAAGAAGCCAATTCATCTTTTGTTTGGGATTTGAACGGTGATTTGGTGGTCGTGTCTATAATACCCTCTCCCAGAGCCATTGTGTTGATGTGAAATTCTCCTGGTCAGAAGGACTTACTGGAGCGGGTGATTATGGACACCCGATCAACTGAGCAGTTCACATGCAGAGCCCACTGAGTCTTTCAATGTTCGTGTTTGAGCCACCGCAAATATCAACACCCAGAAGATGCCCGCGCATCGCAGTGCTCGAGCTTATAGTGACACCTCCAAGAGATCCTTCAGAGCCTCAACCTGATAAGCCCCGCTATCTCGGCCCGGACGCAGGAAAGACGCGGTTTTGTTATTGGATACAGCATATACACAAGATTGACAGCATGGTCGCTGCTATTGATTTACAAGACCGAGACTGGCTATCCAGAAGGGTTGGGTGGGTTGCCCGGCTTAAGCGACCCTCAATAAAGCCAAGGTAAACGCAACGACCCCAGACGCAGCCATGATCGGCGCACTGATGTACCTTGCTGCCGACTCGGATTTTGTAGTCGCCGCCGCCGCCGCCCCAGTTGCGGTGATGCTAGACTTCCCACTATCCGCCGTTGCTGTAGCGGTAGCTGCCATGGCGGTGACAGGGTGGGGGACCGTGCCCAATGTCCAGGTGAAGGTACTTCCACTAATGGGGGTTGAGATAACACCCCCGGTGTTTGAAAGCGTTTCGGTCCCGTTCGCAGGTAGGTCTCCCGGCTTGTAGAATTGAGTGGTGTTACCAGCCGACGGGGCACCATAACCCAGCGCACCCGCACAGTCATAATTCTCGAGATAGGGTCCACAAATGTCCCAGTCATGAGCGATCACAGAATTGTACCAGGCATCTGCACCCAACAATGCCGGCTGCGTGTTGGGACATACGCCCCATATCCTAGATACTGTCAGCGATCCCGCCTGTGCACTGGGCGATGGAGTAGAGAGAAGAGGACAACTTACGTGGAGATGATAGCACTTTTCCCACAGCAAACACAAGCTCGCCCGTAGTCGGAGATGTCCTCCGCGCTCGTTAGCTGATCGAGGTTCGTCATATTGTTCGCACACGTTGTCATCTGATCCGCAATAAACAACTCCCGCTGATCGACCTTGCCTAGGTTGCATGAACAACCGGCAGGGGCGTCGTCGGGAGGCGGCCAGAAAGGGAGCTGAGTGATATTCACGGAGGGGCATAGGTCGATCAGGTCTTCAATTGTTTTTTGGTACTCGCATGAGTAAACCTATCCATTTCCCAACCCCCTTTAGGTCAGCTTTGAATGCCTGAGCTACATGAGAGTGTCTGCTACATACCTGGTTCCAACAGGCAGAAGCCGCGCAGTCAATTTCGCGAGATGTTTTCACACACCCACACACATTGATACAATCAATGCCCAAATTTGGACATTGACTCTGCATGCAGGCCGTATCACCTCCGCAGGAATTATAGCACTCATCTGAGCCACCGGCACAGTTCTTCGTTATGCACTGAGCGTAATATTCGGATGCATCGTCGTAGCACGATTCGAGCGCCGATGGGGCCACGCAGTTGGATGAGTCGAAGTATCCGGCCTGCTTCGATACCACCACTTGAGATAACGTCGCTGCAATGGCAAGCCAAGATCCCGTAGAGAAAGCCATGATGTTTGCGGTGTTGGAAAACGGTTCACTTATCATCACCTTGGGAGGGGATTTTGGTTTATATCCTCCTCCGACCCCAATTGGGTAGGTCGGAATATCTGCGGAGAACGATCGGGCAAATATTCAGGGTCTAAGGTCAGGGACCGGTTGAAGTGATGGGCAGCCATCTCAATCGACGGCTCCTCTTGGCACAGGCTATAGCCAGGTCTATTCACCGATTCAGGCAATGAGCGGAGGGATCCCGACAAGAGAGATCCTAGGCCAAGGAAGGAGCCTGACTCGCTAGACCAACTAGCTGATAGGATACGAGGACCTGCAGGAGAAACATGGGGCTTGGCGCAGTGGAATTGGAGCGGGCCACCAACCACAGACTTGCGGAGGCCGATACCACTAAGTGACCAGGCTGCGAATGCGGGGATGAGATTGAGCTGGCAGTACGGAGTCTTCTGTTGGCAGATGCCGATTTGTGCGGAGATTGCTTGTTTGGGGTTGCCTGTGAATTGCACAAATTTGCACCGGTCGACTGGATTTCCGTCTCTGGTTTAGTTCTTGTTGGCCGTCGGAACAGTGAAGATTGACTATAGCCATGTTTACTTAGTTGATGGGTCATTATAGAAAATAGAATAGCGTATGATATAAGTGTGATGTGAGTCACAAATCAGAGACAAGACAAGGGGAGCATAATGTTTCCCGGGGGGGGGGGGGAGATGTGGGAAGGAAACATACAGGTAAGAATGTTATTACACCGTAGCCCCGACCAGATCAATGAAGACATTTCATATGAGGACTACGCCTCAGTATCTGTCTTTTGACGTCGCGTGCCATCTCTTGTTCCTCTGAACCACAGAGTCTCGTCTCAAACCCGTGGATCTAGCTCATCAATCCGTGCAATGGCATGGAATTCAGAGCCGTAGATGACACTCTAATCGAACAAGGATGAGCGGCGTAGCGCAAAGACTGTCGGAGGCAGCGGTGTTGAAGTCGGTTGGATGGCGCTACAGGCCTTTAAAGTGACCAACAGCGACCGTAGCCTTGGCAGCTGGAAGATCAGATGGTTCATCTTGGCGTGAGCCAACACTCAATTCGCTTGCACAAGTGCAAAACGTCAATGGAGAAGGCCAAGCTTGGAGTGATGTGCTGAGCAAGCCGGACATCCACAAACCGAAGGGCTGCACGAATACGGGGGATTGACTTCGACTGGCAGAGAGTGTCACCTCGCTTACTCTGCGCGTGATGCCTTGTAGCTGAATGCGGGGAGGCCTGATGAATTTCTGTTCCTTTGCATCTGGTCAGCCTCGTATGGATGTTGTTGAGGCTTTGAACTCTGGGCTGTGGCTGTGGGGGGAGTTGTTGTTGATGTTGTTGATTGCTTTCAGTTTGCTTGCTTGTTGAGTCGATCTGGTTCTGCCTTCTCTTTTCAACCGCCGCCTTCGCAACTCTCTTGACAAACAACAATCAAGCAATCAATATGGCCCATCATGATTGCCCTGAGTTCATCCAACTCAACCCTCGATGATGTTCTGTATTTATCTCGGATTTAAACCTTCAGCTCAGTCAAACCCCAATGGCAGGGCGGCCTTTCGCTACTCGTATTCCTGATCACTGATCGCTCGTCACAGAAGCCATCGTGACGAAGACTGGCCGATGAGCCTCCTCAAAATGTGACCACAGGGCTGAGAACAAAGTTTTGTTTCAGTACAGAGATGTGGTAGCTGAGCTGAACGCTAATGCTGACGAATGGACTCCGCCGCCGACAGCACGCCTGTCAGATGCACTCAATCCATATAAATATAAGCACTATATCCCCTGGCCATGATGGACCCCTTCAGGAGCTTGAACGAGGCATCCTGGTTCTAGAAGACCGCTTTTTTGGAGACATAGTCCCATATATTCCGGCATATAACTACTATCTGTATATGTACAAAATGACACGCCTCGAGCGCAGTTCCTACAAACGGCTCATTGTCTGCTGCGATGGTCTGAAGTCCTCGTATACCTTTGATGCCATGCAATCTGGTCGCTGATACATCCCTCTAGGCACCTGGCAAGATTCCACAGCCGACTCTGCGGACCCGCCGTCCAACGTGACCCGATTGAGTCGAACACTCAGCCAGACAGCGATCGTGGAAGAGAATGGTGTCAGGAAAGAAGTCCCGCAGATCGTCTACTATCAAAAGGGGGTTGGCACCGGACTCGGTGACAAATACATGGGCGGTATGTAGGCCTCGTTGCCACCTTATTTGTCTCGCCATAATCAATTACCTCCCCAATTGTTGCCTCTCCTCTCACTGACGCGGGTTTGTGCTTTGGTGCTCCAGGCGTCACCGGACTAGGCGTGAGCGCCAACGTCCGCGCCGCATACGGCTTCCTGACCGACAACTACACCGACGGCGACGAGATCTTCTTCTTCGGCTTCTCCCGCGGCGCCTACACCGCGCGCGCGATCGCGGGCCTCGTCTGCCGCTGGGGACTGCTGACGCACCGCGGCATGGACAACTTCACCAACGTGTACGACGACTTCTACGAGAAGCAGGTCCCGGACTACACGCCCGAGGAGCGCCGCCGGCTGGGGTTCCGCGAGGAGCTGCCGCCCTTCGCCGTCAAGATCATCGGCGTCTGGGACACGGTGGGGTTCCAAAAGGCCTGGCTCGGCAAGGACCTGGGCGAGCGCCTGGAACTCCGGAACACCTACCTGCTCCCGAACGTCAAATATGCCTTCCACGCCCTGGCGCTGGATGAAGAGCGCACCGCCTACTCCCCGATCCTCTGGCATGTGCCGCGCCCGAACCCCGGCCAGGAGCTGCTCCAGGTCTGGTTCTCCGGCGTCCACACGGACGTTGGGGGCGGCGGGAAGGACCCCCACCTGGCGAACATCTCCCTGGCGTGGATGATCGCCCAGTGTATGAAGGACGGCCAGCTCAGCTTCGATATTGACGAGTATCTCTTCGACGTCCCCCCCCGGGTGGCGGAGAACGACCTCGCTCCGTGGGCGACCAGTCAAGGCAAGTCCGACACGGCGAGTCTGGTCCGCACGCTGGAGGGCGTCTTTGGCGGCACCTCGCACCGGACGCCTCTCGGATATAATCCCAAGGGCGAGGAAAGCGACTTCACCGGGGAATACATCCACGAGTCGATCAATGATCGCAAGCTGCGCGGCTGGAGCTGGCCCTGTGCGCCCCTGAAGGGGAAAAGGGACAACGGTACTTGGACCCTGGCGGATTCAAAGACAATTGTGGAGATCCACGCATTGGAGAGAGAAAGGTATATGAAAGGCAGAATCCGGACAGTCCACGTTCAGGAGGTGGATTAGACTGTTCCTCGGTCGATTCAATCGCGGCTGCAGCCCGGACGGCGATTTTGAGGTTTGCTGGGGTCATATATCCTTGGGGTCTAGATTGCGTATCTTCGGAGTTTGGTATCTGTATCGTTAGCAATGCCCCTTGTTCATTCGAGGTATACTTAGTGAATGAATTGTGCTATGTGTGGTGAATTGCATAGATAAATTCACAAAGGAGGATTGAATAATGCTAGGTTAGAAGCCGAGATAGTTGCGCAGTAGTTACTAATCCTTACTTGGATGAATTATACATCGGAAGAATCATAATAATTCGATCAGAATTGAACCATGGGAAAAGAGCATGTTCATTTGTAGCTGTAATGCCTCGTCATTCGTCACACTGGGCGGACCGGCTAGATACCAAGTAATGAAACTACCATCCTCATCATTGTTCATGCGTTTTCATTGCTAAACCAAATAAAGTAGTCATCCATCCTCATGCATAAAAGCATTCATGTTGTGACACAACCCATTAGCATGGCCCCCTTTCTTTTAAGTCAATATCCTCATAAGGATTGCATTATTCATTAGAACCAGCAAACTTGAACGATCAACTTTTCACGAGAGAAGCTTTAACCCCGCAGAAGCCTGGCGCGGCGCGACAGCGGCGCGATCTTGCGGATAATGGGATCGTGCGGCGAGGTCTCGGCCACCGACATGTAGAGCGCTTCCAGTCGTTGGATAAGGATGTCCATGATCTTAGGAGCGACTTCACGGATGTCAGGGTCCTGATGAGAATGTTAGCGTAGGTCTAGATCTAGTTTGTTAAGGAAAATATACCATTGGGTTCACCGTTTGCAGAACTACTTCCAGCCAAGTCAAGCGCTCCATAGGGTTGGTCTGCAACGAGGAGGTCACAGCAACACCCACAGACAGGGCCACGATGGGCGACAGACTAGTCAGGTAAGATGGGTTCATGCGAACGAAGAGCTTGTCAAACAGATCTGCTTGCTGAGTTGATTGCAGCCACTACTGCCGTTAGCATGCTGAACTGACCAAATAACACTAGTTAACTAACCTTGACTGATCCCTCCTCGAAGTGACCTTGGCTCATCAATTGCGCAATCTCTTGCAGCTCAATCTGCTCCGGAGTTCTTGTGTCAACAGAGGCGCTACGAGCAGGGGCGGTCGGCCGCTGTTGCTGTTGCTGCCGCTCGACCACATTCTCCTTGGTGACCAAGGCATGGCTAAGCTTGACAACCTCATTCTGCAAGCCGGTCTGGGCCGCAGCGAGCGTGGCTACCGTGTCAGAGAGTCCACGAACAAGCGAAGTGAGCTGCTCAATCTTGGCAGCATCGCTTTGGCGCTGGGCTTCGAATTGCTTCCACTGAGCCTGCATCTGCTTCTCCATACTGACGACAACCTTGTCTGCAGTCTGCACGGCAACGTTCTCGATGGCTGGTGTGATTGTGCTCTGCATGGCCTTCGATATCTCGCTTTCCACACGGGGAGCGAGCTTCTGGCCCACCGCGTCCGACAGTACTTTCATCAAATCGGGCTGCTGCATGGCACGAGTAACCGCCTCTGGGAGAGCTTGGCGCACCTCACGAGGGACCACAGATCCCAGCTGCTGCGACAAAACGCCGTTAAGCTGCTTACCAACGACCGTGGCAGTGAGATCAGTCAGAGCAGGCACAACCTCTGACTTGATGCTGGTAGAGACAATGCGTGCAAGGTTCTTCTCCACGTTGTCCGAAAGAGTACTTGAAACAAGACGCAAGACCTGATCCTGTTTGGCTGCCGAGGCCGCATCCCAGTTGCGGCGCTCCTCGTCGAAGCGGGTGTAAAGTCCTTCCAATTCGCGACCAAGGCTTTTGGTGAATTCTGTGGATACGCCGTTCTGCAGCACCTCCAGATGTTTGTTTAGGATAGCAGC